CTGAAGGCAGTCACCGACCAAAATGTAGAAGCATGTAGGGTCAGACGGAATCGGGACCCACAAGCAGTCACGTGAGCAAATCTCAAGTCCATCTACGTCGTTAGATCTTAGCACCGTCAAGATCTGAGGGTCAGAATGCTCTCCGAAACCTATTTGACTAACGCCTCTTAACGCAAACGGTGCTGGTGGATAATGATTCAACCGTAGGATCGAATCGCTACGTACGTCTCTGATTAACTCACTCACAACGCCGTTCGATCTCTGGCCCCACAATTTCTCCACCGTTAGATCAATGATCTCACATGCCAAATCTTTAACCGCGCGTATGTAATCATTCGTCACCGTGCTACACAAAAGAAAAAAGAGACATAAGATTATATTCAGGAGAATGTTCGAAAGTGAGGACCCCACGATTCTTTTTTTTTTTAAATAATGATAAATAATAATAAAAGGTCAAAATCTTCAATTCATTGACGTTTCAAATCTTGATTCTTTGACGTCTCAAAGTGTTTTTTGTGTTCATGCACAATTTTCCTTAATTGACCAAGTCTATTCAATTATTACATTGTTTTGTAATACATAATGTGACGTGTGTGTATATAAACTAATTTTTTAAAAATAACTATTAACATGGAGCCCATGATTGAAAGTGTTGAAGTTCGATTACCACCAAGAATTAGATAAAATGTATTTTAAAAAGGTGGACTATGCCACCAAATTAGGGAAAAAAATTTAAATAATTTTAATTAATCAACAATGTCGTACTCAAGGTTGCAAAAGCACTTTCATATTTTGATATTTTAAAACTATTTAATCAAGAAAAAATGGCTGGCATCCTAATTGTAACCACACATACCAATATACTATGAACCAATAACAAAATCCAACTATTCTAGATTGACGATTACAACAAATTATCAGGTGAACCGGCAATTAGTTGGTATAATTATATATTGCACTCATTTTTAAATAAAATATAGGCAACTTTAATGTCAATAAGGAACAAAGACTGATAATAATTGAAAGCCGTGTCTTGTGGCCAGTACCCATTATTCGACATTACATCCCTCTCTCTTTTTAGGTATCTCACAAGTCACATTGTCACACACAATCCACATCAATTTCAGTTGGGTCAACTTTCATACACATATAGAAACGGATAGAATATTTAAATTCGTTTTTTTTTAATTAGTAGACGCAACAAAATATTTCCAGTTCCACATATATACCTATGGTTGTGAATTTTCTCAAGCATTTTTATACGAATATGCTTCTTCTATTCAGTGAGTTATGCTCTTAATTACGTGTTATAAACCAACGTTAACTATTTTTTCCCGTTTACAAATCTTTGATACAGAAACTATGTTATGTGTATGATAAATAATACAATTACCAAATGTTAAAAATGTATAGTTTGTCCTTCTTCTGTATAGGTATATAAATTAAACAGACTCAATCAACTAATACATACACACGAAAATATGTACAGATTTGAACACC